AGCAGGTTGAATACTAGATGTCTTTAGACCAGTGGTCATGGTCGTGCTTTGAATCAGTGCTGGGTGATTAGGTCTAAATATATTGCAAACCCTGCGTAACATGCATAATCATGGAGAATAAGCACTAAGATAAATAGAGAAGTCTTTGGCAATGGGTGAAATTCCTCTAATTGGAACTTCGGATTTGGCTAACTATAGAACTATACACGATATATATTATTTTCATCTTATGTCTTTTTACGCATATTTCAATTCATTTCTAATCTTTAATTTGAATACGTCAAAGAAGAATTAAAAGACAGAAATACACAAATGTGGCAATCATTTCCCCATTTAGTTTACAGTTTAGAAGTTCATGGGTTTAGTATTTTTTGCATAAAAAACAAGAAGCCCTAAATCCAACACTATAGACTTTATCCAAAAGGCATTCACATTCTAGCTAAGATTTGACTCTATAGCTATACATTCTGTGCTGCAACATTGTGAATTATGTCTAGGGTTATGGGAAGCTCTGAACCACGACACGAACAAAATTAAAGAGGACAAAAAAATATATAATAACTAGGGACAGCAATGAATTGAAGCTCTCTCACAAATTAAAAGAATTTCTAAATATACAGAAGGTAGAGAGAGAAAGGGTAAGTAAGAACAATTTTATGAGTCACTGCAAAAAGAAAACAAGAGCATTATTAACGCTAGCCCTTCCAATTTTTGTTTTCCTTCCTCTTACTATTCTCAGCATTTGCTTCTCTGCCCATAACCCCTAATCATCAAACCCTACCGGAAAAGGCTAAAGTCATGCTCTCATTCTTTCTACCTCAGAAACAACAAAAATTAAAGGAAAAAAAAAAAAAAAACTGATGACATAAAGATGTTACACAGTTTCAGTTGATGAAAAATCTAGCTAGCTACCTATAGCTAAGCTAGCAGTAGTACGTACTGGAATACACAAGAGGAGGAGCAGCAACGGCAGCCGCAGCGGCCGCCCAGCGACAAAGTAAACCCTAACCACACAACCACTAATATCGAAATAAAAAAGGTAATTGATTTCGATATTAATTAGTTGTGAAGAGGGTTTGGACCTGTATGAACTATTCTCTTGTCTTCTCCGTATAGCTTGTCCGGGTCACCGTTGGTCGCCGGAAGATGATGAACATGGTGAGATGGACTGTTCGAAGGTGCATAAAATGATACCTTGCCCAGAAATCGTGCTTTCCGCGGCGGCGAACTCATTATCCGGCCAGTCCACCCATCGTCGTGAATAGTACTAGTAGTAGTAGTACTGGCAAAAACCACCAAATTACTGGTTTGAGCAAAAATTAAAACGAGCCAGAAGACGAAAGTCGCAATGCTTCTAGCTTCTCCACGACCATTTCTGCTTCCTCTTCTTGTTCCAGCTTCTCTGGCAGCTCTCATTGCACCAACTAAAAATGTTGTAAAAAATGCCAAAGACTAACAAAACTTAAAAAACAAAAAATGCAGTGCAAGTAGAAGTACTACTTCTGGGAAAAGTAGCTTTTTTTGGCAGTGACTTTCAGTGAAGGAGAAGAGGGAAACAGAAAAAAGCTTAAAACCTTTTGGTGCTTGTTGGATTTTCCTTGTCTTGTGGGTCTAAAGGCACATGAGCTTGACCCTTGATTCCTGGAACCTTCTTATATTTTCTTATTTCATCGTCTCTTCTGAGACTGAGAGACTTGGGAGTCTGCACCTTTTACTCACCCCACCACCGCTCACCTCCGCTTTGATTTGATTTTTTTTTCTTTGCTTTGCTTTTCGGTATCTGTTTGGTTTTTTGTGTGTTTTAATGTTTTTTTATATATAATATACATATTTATAATGTTTCTCATATATGCTGCTGGCTTGGACTTGGAGACGGTGTAGGACTGTCCTGTATTAATAGCCGTTGTCCCCGGAACATTTTCAAACCTAATCTAGCAATGTGGAAAAAAAAATATGGAGCCTTGTAATAAACCAACTAGCTCATCTTATGCTATGTTTACTAATGAGGAAATAAAATGTTGGACCTCGATTACCAGTCTTTGTGTTTATGAATTATACAGGAATGAAAGTAAAAATGGAGCTTATACAATATCAGAAATCGGATTCAATTTCTAATTTTGGGGGAACTCGATTCTTGATCGGCTAGGAAGTGGGATTCTAATTTTTGAATAAACAACACATTAGAAATTCATTTTTTATCTACTTTATCCTTGTATTATTCCTAAACTTCCAAGCTTACCTAAAATAAAAAGAACATTTTAGTAAGGCTTTTTAGCCAAAATGGTCTCTAAGATTTGCATAACTCCTCATTTTGGTCTCTGAGATTTAAAATCAATAGAAGTGGTCCCTAAGATTATTCACCATAAATCATTTTGGTCATTCCAATGCAAAATTATGTTAAATAAGAATCAAAATAACAAATATACCCTTGATTTAACAAACAATAGGCCATAATGATTTGACAAAAATTAAGGCTATTTTGGTCATTTTATTCTTATTTGATGGAGATTTTCAATGAATGACCAAAATGATTGATGGTGGACAAACTCAGGGACCAATTCTATTGATTTCAAATCTTAGGGACCAAAGTGAGGAGTTATGCAAATCTTAGGAACTATTTTGGCTAAAAAGCCTTTTAGTAATCAAAGTAGTTTGAAAATTGATTGAGAGAAATCAATAAACAACTTATATACAATCAATATTATTCTTACTCCAAATTGAGATAGATTAGTAAACAACTTTAATGTGAATTCCAATTCTAATTCCTCATTAATTCAATTATTATCATGGATTACGAACAAGGAAACATGTTATTAATATAGTAGTACTTCTTTCTGTAACGTTAAACAATATCTCAAGTTCAAATATCACATTACAATTATTAAGAAAATAGTAAAACTCGGTCGTTTTACCGCCTCATGGTTTATCAATTGATTGTGACGCAAATATTTTTTTTTTCTTTCTTTTTAGTATGTAGCTAGGGCTGTACTAATTTCTCTGAATCTCTATCTCTAATTAGATGATTTTACAATTCTCTTATTATGCTTCAACTCTTTGCCCTTCATGACAAGTTGTATGCGTTTGTCTTTATCATAGCCATCATTTGAGAATTGAGATCTCTCCGGAACCGACCGGCAAGGAGATTTGGATCACTTATTTTAAATTTTACAATCCTTAGTAGTCTATTTCACTAATCCATCTCTTACAAACTAAGGATCTGTATCACTATTTTCTCTCTTCAACGATCCAAATTTCCAGATCTTTAGACTCCAAACACAGAGATCTAAAGAGGATGTCGACTCTTCATTTGAAACCGTGTGATGATATTTAAATGTAAATACAAATTTGAGTAGGCAGAGAAATGTTGACCAGCACAGCTAACCCGAAAATCACCAATTTAAGAATGACAGCTAAACTTAGCTGCGAAAGACAAGTCCACCTCCATGAATCCATGATCATATCTTACAGATAATATGATATTAATTTCAAAGAAATGGAGTCAACAAAAAAAAAATGTAAAACGTCTTGAATCTTGATCTGATTGTTAATTGTTACTTAATTTACTAATAATGATTATTTAGTTAATTAATACACACAAATTATACAGATGCAAGAGGAACACAATCATGCAACTGTGGGCTCACCGTGAACATGGCTAGGTAGCCCAATATCAGAACGAGCCAATGCTTAGCGGGCCTAGGGCCTGGATTCTGTATCTGGGCGTCGAATGCAGCCCAACGTTGCATTGAGGAGACCTTTTTTCCCGAGTCAGGTTGTGGGGCTCACAATCTCTCTCTCTCTCTCTCTCTCTCTCTCTCTCTCTCTCTCTCTCTGCTATGTTCCGTCTGAGGAGTGAGGCCCACTATTTGGACGTGGAGTAAACTCTCTATCTATATAATATTTATTAGTTATCATTTGAAAATTAAAAACAGATTGTTTGAGAATTACAAATTTTTTATTTTCTGAAAACAGATATTTGTTTGAGAATTTTACCGGTTGAGAGGGATGTTATCCTTCCACCACGGTGGGATTGAACCCTATCAACTGCTAATTTAACATTTAATATAACAAATTTATTGTTTGACCAGAAAAAAATTGTGACAATTTTAAAATTAAGAAGCAAAACAAATTATCAAATAAAGTTTTAATTTGAAAAGAAAATGGAATAAGAAATTGCTCGTACAAGTTTTGAATGCGACTCTCGTCAAACACAAATTTAATACAGATTATTATGGCTAGCCTATTTTGAGGTCTAACTCATTTTCTCATCCTTTAGTATAGATAATATTAATGTATCAAAAAACTTAAATTTAAATCTTATGAATAACAACATCGAACTAATTGGACATGGATCCTCTTTGGATCCATGCATCCTAATCCTAGGGATCCATCAATCCAGAGAGGATCTCTAGGATTAGGATGCATGGATCCGGAGAGGATCTATGTCCGAACTAATTTATTCCTACACTCTTGACTTAGTATATATTTTTGTATTAAGAAAAAACAATAACAAAGTTGAGAGAAGAGACGAGCAACAAAACACTGCAAAAATAACTTGCCGCCCTTGGCTTTCTTATTGCTTAAAAGAAATTAGAATTTTGGTATATTTTAATGGTTTTTTAACAAAAATGATTCATGAGATTGATATAACTTCTCACTTTGGTATATGAGATTTAAAATCGATACAAGTCATCTCTGAGATTGTCCGCCTCAATCATTTTGGTTATTCCGTGAAAAATCTCCTTTAAGTTGAGGGATTTTTGTTTAAAAAATGACCAAAATGATTGATAATAAACAATTCAAGACCACTCGTACCGATTTTAAATCTCAAATATCAAAATTATGAGTTATGACAATCTAAAAAATTATCTTGACTAAAACACCATTTTTAATCAAAGAAATTAGAATTTTAGTTTGGAAGGAAAGAACCTTTTGATAGGAATTGGGGAATATGCGCAGCAAATTAGAATTTAGAATTTAGGAGGGGAGATGCGCATCTTCTTCCCCTGTCTCCTTCCTCCAAGTTCCAACTCAACTCCCCTTCCTCTTTTCCCTTTTATATTTAAATCCCTTCATTTCGCTTTATTTACACCCAACCCCCCTCATCTTCTGTCTCAGCTCCACCAATTCGACCCAGGTTCTCTCGCTCTCTCGTTCTCTGTTTCGGTAGTACAATTTTCTGTGATGTTTTAATGTGACCGTTGGTGGCTTGCTTGCTTTGTAATTAATGACTTGACACACTGAATTTCTTTCTGCTTCCGGGCTGCCCGGTTATGTTGGATTTGTGATGACATCATTGCACCTCTAACCACATTTGCTCAAACTTGATTAAAGTGAATGGTTGTATGAGTACTTAAGTCGAGTGGGTGAGAGACTCATTATCACCTCGTGCTGAGGTCACAATAAGCATGCGCCGAGTTCTTGATTTAGTAGGGCATACCCACCCTCTGATAGTTGCGTAGCAAACCACAATTGCTGCTCAGATTTAAAAATTCCTGCTTGATTGAATTGATCCAACTTTCTTGCATGTAGCACTACTACAAGTAAATTCTGGGCCGGACGGTTACCTGAACTTGTGGGTGATTTCGGTTTTTTAGTATTTTTGGACCGGACTTAGCGTACATTCAGGTTTCTGCCTGGTTCGGTTTGATTTATTGCAGATTGTAGCAGTACAACTTAGAAACATGCACCAGGATAGCTTGTCAGGGTCTAGTTTACATGTTTAGATTAATTTGCAGGGTAAAAGAAAAACTTTACGTTGTCTTCCTTGAACCTTGAACAGTAGTTAAAGCGTATCGCCGCAAACCCTCTCTTAAACTACTACATGCTACATGAACCTTTAGCTGTAAATCAAGTGTTTGCACAAGGTGATCTCACGCCATCGACAGTTCGAGTTAAAGAACAAAACCAAAAAAAAAAAAAAAAAAAAAAAAATCATGTAAAAGACTGAACGGAGCCCTCTAAGAACAGCATAGGGATCAAAACCAGATAAAAATCTCTTTGGAATCAAAAGATTCGTGCTTTTCTTTTTAATGCACGTTTGATTTGTAGCTTCAGTGATTGCTCAACATTATGATTTTTTCTGCTCTTAATTTGTGGAAATAATGCTGCTGTTTTGTAGTGGTGCTCTTTTAAGCAGTATATTGGCTTGCTGTCAGCACGATTCCTCCGACATTTTCCAGCAAGTGATTGCTGGCAAAAGGTATTCCAGAAAAAATTATGAGTTCCCAAAGTGCATTGAACCCGAGTAGAGCCCTAGAGGGCATGCATGGGGTGCATGTGGTGCCCTGTTCACGGTTTGAATCAGAAGAGACTACTGAAACTGTGGACCTTTCTCACTCAACTTGTGGAAGCTCAGCGATTGGAGCAAATCAGCAGCTTTTTATGCAGTGAGTGAGAAATCTAATCAATGAGACTTGTTTATCAACGTACGCTAATAATATTTTGGATTATGCATGGTTCTCATCAACGATACAAGACTAAGCGATGAGTAATATTAGTTTAAGATAATTGTGATGAATTTCCGCAGTCTTGAAGTCGTGCTACATTCAGTTATATATAGAAGCGAAATTCCACCACAATTAACTTTGTCTACATGTTCTCCAGGCGAGTGTGGCAGCAAAGACCGCCTTGTTTGAAGCCCATCCAGGGCTGCTGCGTTCAAGGTATTTTAGATATAAAAGAATTTGTTTTCATCTTCATCTGATTTGCAATCCGATTTCTTGCATGACAAACACATAACTGCTTACATTTTTTCCCATTTTATTAGGTGATCAGAGTGTTGCAGAAACAGTCGTGAATGTGCTCACTTCACTTCCTTTCATAGTTCTTGGAATCCACTCCCCAAGGTAATACTTTTTTGCAAGTCAGTTGATAGACACAGACATATTCTTACTGATACATCAGGTCTAATTGAATTTATCCTCCTCCGGGAAACAGGAAGAATCTAAGTACCAAGCTATATGCTAATTCATTAATTGGAGTTGGAGTCGCCTCAAGTTTATATCATTCTTCGAGAGGAAAACTAAGGAAGTATTTAAGATGGGCCGACTATACAATGATAGCCACAACAACAGTAGTAAGTCAGATAAAAACTCCACAAAATAAGCGTTGGTTGTTTATCCGAAGAAGCGCTACGATTAATTTGTATATGCTCAGACTCATCTTTGGCATGTTTACATGGATTATGCCTCGCCAGTGTGTCATTAATTGTACGAATTATTGGTTGTATCTCTAAAGTTGCTCAGTTGCTCGCTTAGGCATGTAATCGAAATTGATCAACTCATATTTTTGCAGTGCCTGTCAAGAGCCCTCAGAAATGAAAACCCAAAATTGCTGATGGCAGCTTCTGCATTATGTTTACCCTTCCAGCCTCTGATGGTTTCAGCTGTTCATACTGGAATGATGGAGGTAACTTTTAAGATTTAACCACCGTTCGTTATCAATTTCATGACTCTCGTTAGTGTCACCCTTGTCGGAAATGCTGCGTGCTCAGCGAGTAATAGGTAAAACCAGCCGATCACGACATTTAGGATTTGAAAAAACTGCTCTTTTAATGCATTTATAGAGTCTAGTGTCTACAACTCTGCGTTGTGCACTGAAGCTTGACAAATCAGGAAACCTGATATATGGAAGTAGGCATAGGTAACGTGAAAAGTTTACGTAAGCTCCTCGCTCTTTCTGCTAAAATTGTTTCCCGCTTTCCTCATCACCCGTTGTTTTATTTTCCAGGTAGCATTCGCCAAGAGAGCATTGAAAGATCCTGAGCTAAGAATGGCACACACTGTACATAAGATGTCGTCACTACTGGGAGGCGTGCTGTTCTTTGCCGACGACGTGTTTCCTCAGACTCCGTTCCTTCATGCTGCGTGGCACATTGCTGCAGCCATCGGTGTTGGCACCTGCAATAAGCTTCTGGAGTAGCTATCATTCAAACAGATAGAAGACCTGGCTAGTAGGCTAGCTACAAATTTGTCGATCCAACCTTATCATTTTTCGGAATATTTTTCGGAATGCGGCCGGAATTATTATTTAGTTGATATCTAGGTAAAATCATATGGTTACGAGGGTTGTCTGAGAAAGTCCGAACAACTTGATAAATGGTTCAGCGCACATATTTATGTAATTATATTAACTAATAATTTTAAAATTGCCATGCAAATAGGATTCCCACTTGCCAAACCTACGTATGACCTTTTTGGGTTCCAGCCGTTAAAACTGGACCGGACTAAGTAAAACAAAAAAACAAAAAATTAATGAAAATAACTTAGAAACTTTGAGTTTTAACGATAAGGACAAAATAAAAGGTAAAGTGAATAGTATCAACATTAAATTTTTTAGTGTAAAAATGTGATTTTTCGTTAAAATTAACAGCACCAGGAGCTTTTCGTTAAGTTCCCTAAAAAAAAAGCTATAAAACATCGCTTTTGGTTTGAACCGGTTCAGTAATTTGCCATTTACAAGTCGAACTGAACCGGTAATATGATATTACCCGTGAATTGTAGACGTGGGAAGCGAGACTAGAACAAAGAAACATGATCAAGCACTTCCATGGAACATTGAACATGGAGAAATATGAAGTGGAACTTGGAGACCAAAGACATGAGTGGCTATAAAAAGCCAATTAGCCAACCAAACCGACGGGTCGGAAAAGGAATCATAGAACGTGAGTCTTGCCGGTAACCCTTCCTCCCCCAATCATAGAACGTGCGTCATGCTTCTCAACAAGACTACAAGATTATTGTTGGAGGATTCGAATTTTCCCGCTCCAATAAATAGGTGTGCAGAAATCATTTTCTGAAGGAAGAGAGAGACCAATGGACGGTTGTCATACAAAGCAAGCAATATACCGCTAAGCTGTTCATATGCGGAGGTACAGTTTTAAACTAATTTTCATACAATGTACTATTAACTTAACAGTCCACACCTGAAAAAGCAAGAGAAAATTATTGATTACAATGATAAATGGCTCAGCTTTATTCATCTAAAGAAACAAATGGCTCAGCGTTTATCGAATTTCTTCTCGACAACCCCCTTATGGACCTTATAGATGTAGCTGTTCACAGGAGGAACTTCGAATACGGAATACCTCAAAGTAGATGGCTCTGCTTGAGGATCATTGCGGCATTGTGTAACAGATCTACAGAGCAAGTTTTAGGTCAAAGAAGATACATAGAGAGGCTCTGGCTCCACTTTTCTCCTGATCCTGGTTAAACATAAGACCATGCACATTCTTTAGAATAATTCAGTTCAGACTTCAGCGGTAGGCGATACTCAAGGAAATGATAAGTTAGAATCCTAGACACCACACGAGCCCTATGGTGTTTCTCTAATTAACAAACAAAATAAAGCTCAGTGATTCTACAACGCAACCAGAAAAGATGTAGAGTTTACAAGTAATTCCTACGACGAAGGGTAAAGCTCAGTGATTCTACAACGCAAGATGTAATTACCAATTATCTTTTGACCATTTGCAGCCATCGGTATCCACCACATGCAAGCTGTACGCATGCCTTGATTTCGAGGACTGATTCTCGAAACTGCAGTTCAAACATTTGACAGAAAAACAGGCAAAAATAGGCTCTTTAGACCACCCAACTATGGATAAAAATTTAAAGGATCACCATGAATAACAACTAAAGACCCAGCTTATTTGAACTGACCTTTGATGAATAAGATCACCGTGAATAACAACTAAAGACCCAGCTTTCACTTCGATGGGAATAAAATCTTTTTGATCATACACAGGGGAAGGCCGATCAAAGGTCACACCGTCTTCTCCTCTAATGAACCGTCGTACAAGCCCATCTGTAAAACAACATAAAGACCAATTACAAGAAAGTATTACTAGACCGAACCAAACAATTTCAAAGCCTTTCCAGCTCGTATGCAGAAAATTAAAATAGGCAAAGACGTATTTTAGGGAAGAAATAGTAAAGAAGAGGTGGAGGTTGAGAATATTACTCTTTTGAGATCCAGGAATAGCCCATAGGCAGCCATTCGTTATTGTTGCATCTTCTAAAGCCAGCCACAACCCTGTGCAAGTTGGTGGATCGGTATAAAGAAATGAATTATCCTGATGTGGCACTACCTCACCTCCGATTCCTGGTTGCTGCCAACAATATTCTTACGGATTAGTTTGTGCATACTCAAAGAAAAACATACCAGTATAGATATATTAACATAACCAATCTCTCGAACACAATTAAATTCAAAACTATAACAACTTAAAATCATGCAATCAAGGTTTAGCAGGGACTTATTTGCCTTCAAATGATAATATTGCTAATTTCACCGTTTCATAGACACAAGTGATATTGCATTGTAGACCTAGTCCCAATAAGATAAAAAAATAAAAAAACTTGCTCAAGGAGGGGTGAGGCAGGAATGCCGATTAAGTCTTACCCCTTTCCTTTCCCTGATTATGTTTGTGCATATCTGTGTAAAAACTTTTGAACGCATATTTTTAAATGCATATGTTTTCATATAAGTGTATAGAAATGTCGATCAAGTGTCCCCCATCTGCGACCACGAATACCAGTATACATATACAAGCCTCCATACCAATCTAAATTGTACATAGTCATTCTAAATGCATTGTGCCTAATGTTTGTAGGGTTCTTTCGACCAATTAGCCTTATTGTCAGAAAACAACCCTTTCATCCAAATGGACTTAAGTCTTTATCAATATAAAAATTATAAAAGCCGAAGAACAAAGCATTAAACACAAGAGAAGACGTAATACCTTGAAAATGTACATAGACTGAATGACAATGGGCCTTTTGTAACCCAAGGAGGAGAACAAGCCTGAAATTTTCTCAGAATACGTGATCCTTTTAAATACTGGATCGAGCTCATGTAACGCTGCACCAACAGACCACACGATTAACAATCTTAGTTCGAGTTAAAAACGCAAAGACAAAAACTACAATCCATTTCTACAACTTCTACGATAAAGAGAAAACTAAGGGGTTTGTGAAAGTGGTTTAGAGCTTACCATGGCCAACCTTGTTAATCGAAAGTTCCTTCGGCTGTTGCAGTTCTCCATCACTCCCAAAGGCTTTCTCTGCCAAAATTAACAAGTCCCAACATTTTAAGCTGTGCTAACTGAGTGTTCAATTTCACTAATTGGAACAAAGTTACTTAAAAATTCAATCTTTTTTTTAACAAAGAAAGGAAAAACAACATACAAACAGGAATCAAAGTAAATGGTTTCGAGGTTATCGAACACTGAAACATAAATGATACCTTCGAAGAAAAACGAAATGTTGTCGACGCTATCATAGAAGTAATTATCAGTAGTCTGTTGCTGTAAAATATAATTAAAAAGGGAAGATATAATTACAGAGAAACATATACAAATAACTAAAAATTATGAAAAAAAACATTAAATTAACTAATTAATTATAATTATAATTGAAAAAAAAAAAAAAAAAAAAAAAAAAAAAAGAGAAACCTGGTTCTTGGTGGAGAAAATAGAGGCGGTGGAAGAGCAGTCAAAGTCTTGGAGCAATTGGTCCATTCTGCTCCTCATGGCCTCGATGTCCTCCGCGCTCGCAAACGATTCCATGACAAGATAACCTGCGTAACCACAAAACATTAACAACAATTCCCCAAGTCAAAACCCAAAGCTAACAAGTGTTCGCGTTTTCTTAGGATAATACGAGGTAATTAGGAGCTTAATTAATTAAGGTTTTGGTTTGGTTTGGTTACCTTGGGAGTGGAAGGTCTGGAGCTGGTCAGGACTGAGATTTCCGACGATTCCCATGGCGTCTGAGACTGAGAGGGGCAAGCAAACAGGTCGTCAAACGTTGGAAGCTTTTGGAGGCGTTTCGGAGCTGACCGACCGTAATGTCCTCCGGTCCTCTGTGCTGTGATCTTTTGTATCTATAAAAACGTGCAATCTTGGATTCTATATATATTCTCGCGGGGTTGTCAAATTTACTCTTCCGATAAGATCGAAGGAAAAAGGAAATATCCTTTTTATTTTTTTAATATCTCATCGTTTGTTAAAAACAAAAAAAATATCTGACAAACATGAATTTGTTTGACACGAAAAACTAGAAATATGGAATCTTGAAGTCAATCACGTAATATAATGTGAAAAAAAATAATCAAGACCTCAATAATTTTATTGTGGAATATGATAATATTGTGTTGACAGTTTCTTATAATTTTACCAACAAAGAATACAAATTCAAGTAATTTATAGTTAAGAGTATCTTCAATGCTGAGATACAAAAAACTGACGAATTATATCTCCAGTGGGGTTTTACCAATTTTTTTTTTCTTACGAAACGTTAATATTAGTAGGTTAAATTATTTGTTATTAAAACAAAAAAGGACCTGTTATTTTTTGTCACGGTAGTAAATCGCCATATACCAAATTGGGTTTTACCGTTGACCCTCGCCAATTTTGGGTCAGGCGAGCAAAATAAATCCTTACCAACGGAAAAACTGGATCAAATCACGTTCTGCCGTCTGAAAGTGGTGTGATGGAGAAAATCTCCACATTTCCGTGATCCGAATCCCATTCCCATAAAATGCTTATTGAAACAACACCGATAGATAAGTCAATTACGCATTGTCATATATTTTAACTTTTCTACTGGCCCGTTGCAGATTGGTCATGACCGGAAACGCAAGTCCAAAGAATACACAAGTAAAGAAAGAAAACAGAGCACTAGCTCTGGCCAGAAGAAAAGAAAACGAAACACACTGCAATTTCAAAAAATTTGAAGCCAAACTAAATACATTGAAGCTCCCTAGATCACAAAAATTAATGTATATACTGATGAGTACATATCCTGGGAGCGACAGTAACGACACTAAAACTTCTACGGAAGGGGATAGAGATCAGGCAAAGATACATGTATGAAACCCCGAAAGAACACAGTAAAAAAAGAATCAAAATCAAATCGAATACCCTGATCTTGGATAAACGTACAAAAATTATCCAACCTGACCCTATTTGCACTTGCAGATCAAACTCTAACTAATCTACATGCATGGCCAAACCAGGGTGTGAAAGGAATGTGATCTGTCAGTGCACAGCTTGTCAAATACAGCAGCTGCAGATATGAAACAATGCTCCGTCAAACACCGGGAAACTCTTGTGATGAAAGGATTGGTGTCTCGCTACCTTGTCTTCTGACATCATATACAAAATCATCCAACTTCTTCACCGTACAATCCCGGGTAAGTAATTAGGCAAATGTGACCTCCAACAAATTCCTTGTATCTCCCAAAATTGGTGTATGCCTCTACACGTCAGGACGGAGGGGGAAAAAATGAAAGAATAGCAACACAAAAGGAGAGTCAGCAGTAAGGTGTGCTCACGTGATCACAAGCATCTTCAAGCAAAATCATGTAGCTGATGCTGCTCTTGAACCTTCTGTCTTGTTTGTGCGGCACATACAATCAGGGCATGGGAAGGAATATATCGAGTCATTTGGCCTCTTGAGCTCAAAGCCCTTTGAATCACTATGGGTCCTCATGCCCAGCAGGTGACGCCTGAAGGTCTTCCATCTGAGGAATGAACAACAAAACCAAGAAACGTTACTTCTGTGTATGTTGAAGAATGTTAATAGTGAGAAACGATTTTTCAATATTCATGTCACCATTGTTGATGACGACTCATTTCATTCTAATTAGTCACTAAAAACTTCGCACAAACAGCCAACTATGAACACTTTGGTAACCCTACTGAAGTCCAACATCATAGGTACATATAGAAATTAAGGAAAATTGAAGTTAAACATTCATCACAAAGTTTACTTTGGTGTCCGAGACATTTTTGTTCATATAACTCAAACGCATGAGTCCATAATGTATTTTCATCTATTCTTAATTGACTGCTACAGCCAGAACCATAACATCACTTCTCATTTCCTGCCTACTGCCGCAACACCCATAAAAGAAAGGCCCTGACACAAATATCATCAATACATATGAAGATGCGTTTTTAATGAAACTAAACTAGAGTGACCCAAACAGAAACTAAACTAGCAGCTAAAGTCATGCATACATACCCAATTTTTGGATTATCAAAGAGTAATGCTAGCTTCCGCTTGTCGGGCCTGATAGTCTTTGAGTGTCCACCATACAAGTATCTTCTGTGTCCGATCAAGAAATGGGGAAAGTTCCCCCCTTGAGTTGTCACAAATACCTCACTATGAAGACAAACAGTGTAATCTATCGCAGCCATCCTGGAAGAATAATTCTAGTAGCAGTAACTCAAAGTCAGAACAATGGTATTATACCAGACTGCAGAGAGGGTAGAACAAAACAGAATAAAACTATTTGGACCTTGAATGGAGCAAGCTCTTCATCTGACGCTAGCATCTCTTTTGTCTGCAAATTAGGAAACATTTCCAGTAATGGGGCCATTGTCTTCTCAGCATTATATATCTTTCCGATGCCAAATATATAAATGTGTTCTTATCAAAACCCATTCCCCTAAGCATCAAGCCAACCTGATTAGGTGACATAGAAAAAGAAATAATAAACTAGTCATATCAAGAAATACAACAGAAACTTATAAAGTCATAAAATCTTTCCGAAGTAAATAATAATCTCGACAAAACAAAAGAAAAAAAACAGTTGCTCGGGACCCCAGCTGGCAGATGGCATCATGGCACAATGGCATAGGCTGCCTTGCAATGCAGGTGCCTCCTATTCTGGGTTCCAATAGAAGAATGACACAATGGATAAGGGAGGGGTAACCATCTCCTATGTTGCTCAACTCGAATATGAAATTTACATGCTCAATTGGAATTCATGCAGAACTTTTTTGCCGTTTGTCAATAAGAAGTTCAGTTTGTAATTAAACATGCCATCAAGAACTACCCAAAAGCAAAAGTTATACCTCTAAGGGAGTGAGGGGGCATTTTCCATTAATCCTGATTGCTCCAGGACGTATAACCCTGCCAGGTTTGGTAAATTTCCCTCTCCAACCTCTTTCCCTTGCTGCTTTCATATCTTCATTTTCTTGCTCTCCACCATCGAAAACACAGCAAGAGAATGCAACCATGTCCTGCAAATAGGATAGCAGTAGTTCCACTTGAGAAAGAAATATAATATCTTCTTCATGAGGTGATAAAAAAGTCAATTACAATGCCACACTTCTAGTTGATCAAGACAAACCTCCTCAAACCGAAGATGAACAGAAATATATTTTCCACCATAATTTGTGCTGCGCTCTTTCATTCTTGCAACCAAATCTTCTCCCAAAGATAGTATAGGACTTGAAAACTTTAAAGCTTCATAATTTGCCAAGCATCTTAGCCGTTGGACAGCAGGAGGAGAATCAAATGATAATCGATTTGCAAAAGGAGAAATCCGTATAACCCTGTTTCATCCACAAATGTAATCATCATTAAGCATCATTTTATACATGCATTGCTTGAATCTTGCCACACCCATTGACAAAATTGATGATGGATGAATATGTCCGATCATAAAAAAAGATATGGAAATAAAAGCATCCCTAGAATATGCAATCGATATAACGAAGTGTATAACAATCCATATTAGTTCAATGCCGAGAACAAAAACTTTTTAAGTATAGTTACTGGATCCCATTAAAAATAGTAATAAAACAACATACAAATAATGAATCAATGATTGATGGCCACTAATAAAGTTAAGATCAAGAACAAGTTTATTGCGCCTCAACCCCGGAAACCTCATCTGCCAAGCAGAATTTTGATTGATAGAAAACACATAGCCAAAAGTGTCCAACCCAAGAACATCAGATTCAGAGGGGCTGGTAGGTTGAGGTTGAAATTTAAAACCTCTACCTGCACACAAACTATCTAATTTGATGCAAAGTTACCATTTTAGCACAATATTTAGCAGGACGACAAATGCGAAAGTAACTTTAAATAACTAAAGGCAACTAAAGATTTAAGATTTTCTGACTCACTTTTCTTCAAGTAGCTTTGGGAGAACAGCTTCCTTATAATACACAATGGGTGACCATGCTTTTATTCTGAAGTTGTAAACATTGGTCATATTGTGGTCAAAGCGTTCCATTAAATATTCAGGAATCTTGTTAACCACGCGGACATCATTTTCCAACATACTGATGAAATGATCTTCGTCATAAATATCCCTGAATTTACTGGACAATAGTAAGAAGAAGAAAATCAGAGTCTAGTTATATGAGAATGAAGTATCAAATACTATATTCGTACCTATTCAACAGAAACCTCCTAATAAAAACTATGAGGTGATAAGCAAGGTGCAGCACTATAAACAAAACATCTGTAATGCAGTGTTCCTGCCAGCCCAAAAGGAAGAAAAAAAAAGTTGTATTGCACCTTATGTCAGTTTATTCCTTCTATCTTATCATGTATCTTTACACTTTTATCCCCCCTCCAGTTTTCTTTTGAGCTGAAGTGTTAACCTGAGTCGAGATGTATAGGCGACACGCTGAAAACACACATTGTTTCTTGTGAACCTCATATTCTTTTCCCTTTTTTAATAGGATTATGTACCTCATAATTTGGTTGCAAATTTCAATATACTGAGAAAGTTAATAAACATGGATATTCATGGTTAAGCATTCTGATCCTACAAACACAACCAAAAAAGAGATAAGTGCTGACAAACCTTGGATCTCTCCAGATGCTATGAAAGTGAAAATTGGGAATTACAAGTGTTGCATTAAGATAGCCTGCAACAGCAACTGCATTGCATATCTAGAAAGCATCAACAACAACCATGCAGCATGAAGTCAAGAAAGTTGTTACAAGAATGATCTTCCGTATGCAATAGGCAAAGCACAAGCTTAAACAAGAAAAGAAACGCTCAACAAGATGAGGAGTCAAACTTACTGAAGTCCTCTGCTGATTTAGACCACCATTTGCCTCAATGTATATATAACCATTTGACTCAGCCAAACCTACAAGCATAAACACATTACAAGTTCAGAACTTATAGGAAGATGGAAAGAAACATATAATGCCAAACTAAAACGTAAAGACAACAAATTTTAATGCTACAGTAGGGAAAAATATCAGAAAGGAAGGCTGTGAACACATAGAAATTCAAAAAGTGTACTAGCAGCTATCAATGTATAAAATTGCAAGAACTAGTTGAGGTAACTCGTACCTCCAGAGGATTTGTTTACACACGGTCTCCACTCGCCGCTTCTATAGGAATGTTTCCATACAGTTGAAATCTACAAAGAATCTGATTGGGTCAGTAAGTAGCATTATATACGAGGAACCTACTCCATAGAATTCTAAGTCATAAGCGCATCAAGAGAATCCAAGATCTCTAAGAATATTCAAAAAGATCGATAAGAAATACTTCTTCGTAGCCCACTTCTACACAGTGCTTCCCATGTAACAGGGGCAGTATCTTGAAGTTTTTCTATTCCCGGCATTTTCTCTTGATGGTGATTTACTTATTTGTTGTATGACCCAAAGGTTAAGATGACTAAATAGCACGAAATGCAATCGTAATAAGTTCAATTTCAGCATAGTTCACCGGAGGATTGCAGTAACTAGCTTGATTATCTATGGCAACTTAGAAGATTGACTGTTCAAATCCAGAGTCCATTTACACAGGATTTCAAATCCCTGGCTAAATAATAAGTAGTGTGGCGGATTAAGTACTAATCACTAAGCAATTTGGAACGCCCAGCAATCCTATATCCAATGTAATCAATGATTTAAATTTCCTCATTAAATAATTATGTAGAATAATAAACAAAACAGCAGATTCAATGAAATTCGAATTCATGTATTCTGAATACGATCTCAAATCGTAAATCAGGAAGGAATGAAGGAAGAGATGAACGCACCGCATCGGCAGAGGAGTTATCGGCATCCATTTCGGGGCGGAGCTTGGCGTAGAGTTGGGGGCTGCGGTAGACGGAGCCGGGGGCGAGACGACGTGAGATGACGGGAACGACCTCGAAAGAGACGGAGCCCATGTAGAGGAGCATGCCGGAGATGTAGAGGAGAGGGGCGAATAGGAAGAAGCCCTGGCGGCGGATTAGAACGGAGAGGAGGTTCCAGACGATGCGCTGGATTAGGGTCCGACCCGGCTGGTTGAACCGACCACCCGCTTTGGAGCGGCCGTGTCGGAACCGGGGCGAGCGGAGCGGCGAAGTCGGCGGCGATGGGCTGTTGTGTCCGCTACTCGGTAGCCGGTTGTATGGGTGCATTGGGATTTCTGTGCTGCCCTCTCTCTCTCTCTGCTACGTCATGTGGCCTTCTCTCTCTCTGGCTGTGTGTTTCTCGTGAATTGGGTTTTCTGAGAAAATGTTGAGAAAAAGTGCACGGAAAAAAAAAAATTTGAGAGAGAAAGAAGAGAGAGAGAGAGAGGGGTTTGTGTTGTATTGATTTGAACAAAGAAAGAGTTCGGCGTGCACGTGCTTTCTCCTCTCAGGGATTTTTACTTCTTCAAAATATTTTTAATTTTTCTGATTTGAGTGAGTTCATTCCCAAAAATGGTGACATTGTGACATTGTATTATTTTTTTTCTTTAAAAAAAAAAAATCTAGTGGCTTTTTCATAGCAGTTCATATTTTCGGAAAGAGGAAAACTCACAAAAGCATTTCAACCTTCCTTTAACTACGATCGTACGATTCATCAGCGTAAGAAATCGAATCAGGTCATAACATGTCTAAGACTTATAATTCGTTTCTGACCACTGAACGACCCCATAGTGAATAATGACATTGTTTTATTGAATCAGAATTGTACAATAACGGTACACATGATCAGTCAAAGCTGCCGTTTGGTTGTTGGAAGCGTTAAGTTGCAAGGAGCCTTGAATTTTGGAATATTTTCTTATTTTATTTGGATGTTACCATTCTCAGTGACAACTAACAACGACGGGCACGCTTCCTTTTGTTTTAAAACAAATTGGCTGTATTTGTATCACTTTTCGTCCATGATTCATTCATGTTTGGCAACCATGTGAACACTGCAATTAAATTTTTATTTATTAGTGTGAAGATCAGTGGTGGTTTTTATTTTAAATCTCGACCTGCAGTTAGTTCAAAACATGTTCATCATGTGGCCGAGCGAAGCGCACCCGTATGAAGCAGCCTAGCATTGCGTTAGGTTGGAGCAAGAGCAGATGGGGGACGCTTTCTCTCGTCTCTCCCTTTTCAGGGAATGGCTGTAATCACAAGCAAGTGATTGAAGCAGGTGTTTTAGGAGACGGTCTAAAAATAAGTTTGGTCTAAAAGAAAAGAGAACTCTTAACAAGCCGAACCGAAAAAAATGACTCTGTGATTGCATAATTATCTCAGTTCTTTATTTTATTTATATTTTTTTTTATTGAAATTGTAGCATTTTAGCTCGACAAGAATTTAGGTCATTTTCCTTCGTAATTAGTTTGTATTGATGAGAATGAATGTCGTAAACCAAGTATTTAAGTTATCTATAGTCGATATATGTCACACACTAGAACATGGGAAAACTTCGCTTGCATCAGGATCCAACTCATAGAGTTGGGAATACAAAATCAACATGGACCCCACTAAATCATCTTCATCGCCAGCTTTCGATTTCCAACACGGAAGTTACGGTCCGGAATGTACGTACGTTGTTCAACCACACCACATGGCAACCGGAAAGTGACCTCTACGCACGCTTGCACGTCAATGTTACAATCTAATAAGAGTGCATAACAATTTTCAGTTAATTTTAATACATGACCAGGTGAAATCGAGTTTGGTGCAAAAGGCAGGTGCACTACTCTGACAAACTGACCTAACTTATAACCACGACATTAGAAATGTTTTAGTATATTCGCTACTATTTGGTACAAGGCCACATTAAACTTGCCCAAAAGATTTGTATTTTAGCTTCGAAAACGAAACAATAATAGGCTCGTTTTAAGCCTATTAGAAGTACTTTTAAACAACTTAAAACGTTTTTAGAGAAAATATCTTTGGATTTCAAAACCAATTCAAATTATTCTTGCAAAAAGCACCAGTTAATGCTTCTTGCAGGAAGCACTTCAAATGCTCTTCCAAAATTAACTTACATTTTTACTAAGAATTGGTTTCACAAATATCTTCTTCAAAAGCGCATTCAATCATTTAAAAGCACTTTCCAAACAAGCTCATAAAATCTATCACGATGACTAGAAGCTTAAAAACGCACTAATGTCCCACTTGTTACACAAAGAAAGTAGGTTCCACGTCTCAATCAACACAACTCATAGAGAAATTCCACAAGACAAACCATCTTCATCGCATAAAGTCTGCTACTAAAAATTTGAAAGCTACCGCTCTCACTTGCGACTGTCAACAAACAGGCCGCGGACACCGCGGATTCAGCACCACTGTCTAAACTGGACCACTGTGGGAAGATTTGGTCGCATGGTTATTGCCAAAATAAACCCACAAATTGCGAGCTAAGACATGGTGTTTGCATCAAAAATCTGTTTCATGATACCTTATTGGAAAATACTTTTCCACATTCCAACTCACACAACCACATGATTTGATGATTTCGATTGTGACTGGAAACACCACAAGTGACCACAAACGCAAACACGTTTAAAATGAAACTCAAGAACCCATTATCTTCAAACTCGGATTCTTTCAGTCATTCGTTTCACATGCAACGAAGATTGACATAACTAAATCATACCGTTTCTAGGTAACAAAACAATACATTTTTAGTGTCTGGAATGGATTGATAACACACTGTATTCAACGTATGATTTGAAACGAAAAATCAGTCACTTCTACTCTAAGAATTGTCCAATACAACCCAATCCAAGGCACCAATCAAACCCATAATGTACACCATATGAAATGCATTATAAACTGGAAATGCATCCTTAATGAACAGATGCTGACACATTTGACTAAGAAACTGAACGAATTCGAGCAAAGAAAGCAAGGAAAAGGCTAACTTCTATGAAATCCATATCCAATCGCTACTTTTGGTTATGTTTGGCAACACACAACCAACTTTTGCAACAAAGACAATGTGAAACGATCCGTGTTTGGAAGCAATGGCAAGTTCACTAACATCCAACAAAGATGATATAAATTGTCTCTACCGTTTCAAAACGAAATTTAGCTCATAATTTCCAGTGCCGAAAACCCAATCCAAACAGAAGATGGAAAAATAAATAGATCCAAATTAGTTCATTAAAAGGAAAACTAACATCCCATTAGAACTTCCCTATCCACTGTTTCATCAGCTACATCTGACCCTCAAGTTTTCCGATGACTCAATCGTGGAGAGTGCCCAAGATGTCTTCGTCCCTGTATAAATGGAACCTGCAAAACAACCAACCAACCAAAAACCCAAACAAAAAATCATAAATCTCAGAACCCTAATGCACTAAATTACACAAACAGGGCAGAAATTAGCACAAGAGACGTACTCTTTGTCACCAAGCTTCACTTGGGTGCCGCCATACTCGGGCAAAAGAACTGTATCGCCTTCCTTCACGGCCACCGGAATCAGATTCCCGGCCTTGTCCTTGGCTCCTGGTCCCACAGCAACCACCTTCCCTGAGTTTAGCTGCGCCGATTGGACCAATCAAAACCGTTAAAATTCAAATCAAGATAAAACCCTAAACCCTCAATACATTTATACCAAGCAAGAAGATGATATCATGAAATTTACTTGGTGGAGGACTCGGGGAGGAGAATGCCGGCGGTGGTTTTGGAGGGCGGGATGATTTTCTCGATCAGGACGCGGTTGAGAGTTGGAATCAAACGCCTCGCCATTTGGGTGTCTGTTTCTGAAAACAGTGGAGCTACTGGCTTAGGGTTTTGGGGGAAGATGACGATTGCTGATGGTTTAAAATGTGAGGATTTGGAGAGGAGGGGACTGCTTGTTGATCAAGTTCGAGGGGATCGTGGAAGGTTCTAGGTCTTAGGGTTTTTGGGGTTTTAGGCGTACGGTGCTGTGGGTCTGGGTCTGACATTGGAGATCGGGCCTTTGTTTAGTAATGTAAATAGTCCAATGCTTAGGCCTTTTTTGGTAATGAACATAGCCCAATACTTTTAGGCCTTGTTCGTACTTTTGAGTTTGGTTGATTAAAATCTTAGATGGAGATCTGAGCCTTGTTTCAGTGTTTGAAGGAAACCAAATTTTTAAACAAAATTCAGGTTCACGAGTTCGAGTTACTTTGGAATTTAGGGTTTTGTCCGAGTCATCCGTAAGCCCACAAACAAAAGTTAAGACCCATGTTCGTTTTAATTGGATAAGTAGGGTCCAGTCCGACTCACCAAACAAGCCCCTGTATGTTACGGAAACGGAACCCATAAAATTTGATACATATCTCTTATATTTTGGTTGTATCCAACAAAAGTATCGGATTTGTATATATTTATTATAATCATCATCTCAGCAGTCAGATAGTGATTGTATTAATACATAATATTCACATAAATTATAATTAATCGTTAGATGATTATTATATTAAATATATGTAAGTATTGTGGCCAATTCTCATTGTCTCGTTCTTAAACTGAACGTTTAAGTTATAGGTATGTGATCGGGTTTGCCCTCCCCATCCTTATCCTCGCATAATCTCATTCCTCCATTCACCATCCGAAATTCCCCATTAAAAACCCGTTTGGGAATCGAAGAACATATAACTATAAGCATTACGTGGAAGAGTCGATCATGGTGCCTTTATTAGAAAGCAATGTGAGGAACTTTTGAGTCTATTCCATGGAAAAAGATACCTCAATTAGGCTTGACAAGCAACTAAAGTTAATCAACATTATCATGCACAGCAGCACATGTCATGACAACCTGACGACCTGACCGACACAAGAATTCCAGGCCACACCTAATGCTCATGGTCACTTCGATCAATCTGCAGCAAAAAGTACTTCATGCATGTAAACTTTTCCACCACTTATTTGTTTTGTGCCAAAACAAAAAATATATAAAGGACCATAAACTTTATGACTGTATAATGGTTGACGTACATTAGGTCCCCATAAGCATTCTGCAATCCCATTGGTCATTGGCCATGCCACCTCCATGCATACGTGATAGGGTTCGGCGGTTCCCACTGAAAGGGAAGGAGCACATATATTTGCTTTTTAGGACGATCCCATCTTTCCAGAAAATTTGATCGATGCTTTGTTATCTTGCAAAGACATGCAACTTTTTTTCAGTGTGTGGAGTGTGGTGCTTATGATTTTCATGCAGATCCTTAGCTTTATTTATTGTTCTCCACCCCGATCAGAATGTTTGGGATGAGTTGCGTGTACAGTTTGTATTTATATTGTTCAAAGGGGATATGGATGAACATGAACCATTCAACATTGCTTTAATGAAATAGAAAGCCGAACCCACCATTGCCAGAGAGAGCTGGACATGATAATTTAGGGTTTTAAACAGTCAAAGCACTCTAGCAAAGATAAGACCCAACTTAACACGACTTCATCACAAGCAATGTCATTCATAACCTTTCAAAAGCAAATTTAAGTGGAACTTGTTAGATATCCGTATTTTCCATCTTATATTTAAGTTGCACTTATGGTCCATTATAAAACGACAACAATTACAACAACAAAGTTTTATCTTACTAAATAGGGTACATTGTATGAATCCTAGAATGTCATTATGCTCAATTTTCCGTCAAGTCTTCCATTAGTTTCAAGTACCATATCTTTTCTTAGAATCTGTTTCCAAGTCTTCCTAGGTCTTCCCTATCCGTTTTGCCTTGAGCCTCTATCTCATAATCACATCATCTAACCAAAGCATTTATAGGTCTTTGGTTCACATGTCCAAATCACCTTACCTGATTTTCGTTTATCTTATCTTCAATTGTGGTCACTCCTACTTTACCTTGGATATCCTCATTCTTAATCATGTCCTTTCTCGTGTGCCCACACATCTAATGAAGCATTTTCATCTTCACTACCTCATTTTTTGCACATGTTGACGCTTGACTGCTCAACATTATGTCTAGCCTTTTGACGTCTTATAAAATTTCATCTTGAACTTTAGTGGCATACGTCGGTCACAACACCCGATGCGCTCTTTCTCTTCATTCATCCAACTTGTATTTTATAGCTGAGATCTCCAATTCCCTTCTTTTGTACGATATATCCAATATAGCAAAAGTGCTCACTCTTTGGTACTTCCTGATCTCCAATTAATCCTCACCTCTACCATTTTGACCCCCATTCTTGCTGAAATTGCACTCCATATACTTTGTATTGGACATACTTAAGCAAAGGCCTTTAGATTTTTAAGCTTCACATTTACTCTCTGATCATGCGTTTCATTATCAACACTCTACCACTGTAAAAATGTATACATTAAGGAATATAATCTTGAATATATCCTGTTATAACAGGATAAGAAGAAACTTTATAGGTAGCGACGAGTTTAGGTTTTATGCGCTTGTTATCCGCGTTTAGGGTTTTGGATTCTCCAGCTGGAATTGGATTAAACTGTGTCCTTATGACAAATACGTAATCAAACTAATCATCATCCACTGTAATGACTTGTGAGGTCATTCACTTTCAATTGTACGTGTTCCAATAACTTAGGTGACTCGTGGTTTCTGAAGCTTCTTATGGCTAATAATGCTAGGGTTGGCTAAGAACTGGCTTAGCACAAGATCACCGAAGGGCATTGAATAATATGGTAGGAGAACCATATGGTGTGTTTGATGAACTAAAGCATGATCATGATTTCCTGATTGAAAATTTTTATGCGTGGAATCCACTCGGTTTCCATGTTGATCCATCTCCTTCAATGGTTTGACTGATGATGTGAGAATCCTGCAATACATCAATTTATGACATCAACGGCTTACTTTATCAGTTGAGTGCACGTTGAAGAATTTGAAAAAAAAATATCAATGAATGAATATAAGACACTTAAAAGACAATATATCTAATGCAAGACTCCAAACTTAAATACAAGACGACAAACATATTGTAATGATCAACTAGTTTAGCATGCACCTAAAACTTTCCTCGTTTAAGAAAGATAAAATTAGAATTTTATCCCAAAGCCAATATATAGGTATGTCACCTTCGCACCACTATGTGCTGCTTTATTACAAGAGAGATCTTTCAACATGTTGAGAATACAGTCGATACATTAAGTGATATAATACAAGTGAATGGATACATAAAAAATATATTTATAACCACTTATATTATGACACTTAGTATACCGAACCGTACTTCCGACTCACTAATATATTTCTCTTATCAGAAGATCCTGCACTTTCTTTTAAGGTGTATGTGGGTCCTCTCATGTACCGGAATCTACCTTTTGCACCACTTTGAAAGTGATTTTTTTTTTTTTTTTTTTTGTGGAGAACACTTTGAAAGTGATTAGTCAAATAAGAAAAATAAAACAGTCTGAATATCAAGTGGACGTGCCGGAGTGGTTATCGGGCATGACTAGAAATCATGTGGGCTCTGCCCGCGCAGGTTCGAATCCTGCCGTCCACGTATTATTTTCTTTATTGTCGTTTTTAATTTAATTTTTTTTGTTGGTGTCTTTAGTAAGAATTCCTTCATTCCCTCTCAAATTATTTTTCTCTACAACAGTTTGAAAATTGTTGTTTTAATTAAATGTTCTCCAAAACGTGATGTTAAGGATTTATTCCATACCCATTTAATTTTTATTTTTTTTCAAATGGAGGGTATTTGGATGTTGCTGCTGATTTTTTAACTATATATCTATTTTGTGTTGTTGATTTTCTTATATTATTTTACCTTTCACACATCTCTCTTTATTTTCGGCCGTTAAATCAATGAATTAAAAATAATCAAATAACATAAATTAACAGGAGCTGTGTGATAAGTAAAAAGGAATGTGAATTCATATATAACGATAATTTACTAACATATTAAACATTGTCGTTGTTCATATAAGTCAAATCTAACTTTATCATCTATGAGTAGCTTACAAATAACCTAAAACGAACAATCCAACTTTGGCGTTAGTACTCGATCGGTACTGATTAAGAACATTAATAGAGGGGAGACCCATGGAAAAGCTAGGTTTGCTAGTTCAGAATCCATCTCCACTTTATGTCGTACATTCACTTACCATTTTTTTTTTTGCCAAGTCTTCTTTAGATGATTCAAAGTTTTTGGCTATGATGAAAAAGTAGGGTTTCAATGTTTAAGGAAAAATCCAACATTATTCTCTGAGTTTAGTGCCACTTGAATCTCCCATAAATTTTCGAAAGGTCCTACTTTTCTCTTTCAACTAAACCCTAATTTGCAAAGGTGTCTTTGGTATTCTGAATATTTCAGTGGTCGGGTTGCCTTTGTTCATTGGCATTTCGTAGCCCCATAACCTGTAAAAACGGAAGTTAATTAATTAAAAATTATGCGGTAAATGTTGAGCTAATTTTTCAAGCCATACATATAACTACGGGTTCTGAGCCGAAGCTTGCTTCAACCCTAAATTTTGGAATTTTCTATTTTTGGTTCAGAAATTTATTTGATTGGATATTTTTGATATTTCTAAAACCTTACCCTTCTTTTGGTTTCTTCATATATTCTAATTGTTTTAGATTTTTGGATTTTGTTAGATTTCGTATTTTTAATGCCTTGATGGTATAGTACTTCCTGGTTTTCTTTGGAAGCAACAAGGTTTTGATGATTCTTTATTTCTCTAGGGTTTGATTATCTGGACGTTTCCCTGCATCTAGTTTCAGAGTTCCTCGTATAATACTTCCTGGTTTTCTTTGGAAAACTAATTAATCTGCCTCTGTACCGACAAGATATAGAGGATGATTCCTGAGTTGGAATTAGTTCCTCGTATTTTAATGGAGAATTCAACAACTGCTTAAGCAGATTGTAGATTACTAGCATTGGAAGGCGAATTGCATCCAACCTGAGGAGGATGAATTTTGGTACGTGGTTCTAGAACCCTGCTTTTTTCTTCTGATAATTGTCCCGTGTTTTAACTAATTAATATTTTTTATTTTTTTAATTTAGATTTTAGATTGGTGTTGTTGTTGGGAATTCTTTTATACTTTTCGGGAGGGAGAGTCTTTTGAGATTCGTAATTATTGAAAGAAATGAAGAAAGTATTTTCTTTTAGGGTTGTTGGAAAATCTTAATAAACCAGATTAAGTCTGGATAATAGCTAGGGAATTATTAGTTAGTGCTCTTGTCAATGTTTCTTCTTGGTTAAATGAACTATACTTTCGGGTAAGGTCCTCAATTTTGAATAAAACATTTCTTACAGATGTGCTAAAAAGAAAAAAAAATGCTACACCAACTATACAAACACATTATAACCAACTTGAAAAGTTTTTCCGTTATAATTTGAATGAATTCCTAGTACTATTTCACATCGTGCCAATGTAGCAAACAATAATTTTCCGTAATAGATGCAAAGAACAAGGCACAGTCTCAAAACAATCAGGTAGATTCAACCACATATATTATTATATAATTATATTTTGGCTCATCCTCCATAAATATTCCTTCTAGCAAATCCATGCAAATTTTTATAAAATGGCAAATAAATTTTATTTTCTTTTGGAAGGGGCAAATAAAATTATGTGCCTTATATTCCAATCTCCATAGGTCTAAAATCCTCTCTGCCATAGATGCTATTTGATTAATATGTATGCAATGAAACTTAAGAAAAAAAAAAAAATCACTTAAGAGTAGGAATTAGTTATAGAAGTGCTTATGGTTTTAACTATTAAATTGCAAGAGCATCATCAAAAAATAATTACAAGAATATGACTCGTTCATCAAAATCCTAATCCCAAAGTCATGACAAACAAGATTTCAACGCCTTTATTATGCGCTACTTTGATTCTATTCATACAAAGTTTTGAAGCACACATATAATACCAAGCTAGCTATCACTCAATCTCGTGAATCTTTTGCTAAGTAAACAGTATTAAAATCCTAAGTCTTCAACTTAGCTAGTATCTTTGGGTGATGAATTAGGTTATGGTAAAACTTTGATATCTTAAATTTACATACTTCTTAAGTTGTAATTATCACTTTTTATTTCTTTGGTCCAATTGTCACGAAGACTTAAAGCCAAATTTGGTTGTTCTAGGGCAATCACGAAAGCAAGGTCTTCCTCCCTCCTTCTCACGGTTTGCAGATTTTATTTACTTACGATTATTTACAATCTATGTCATTATTCAAATCATCTATTGATTGAACTCCACATCACTTTTAATTAGTACCATAGGATGTTAGATGTATATACACATACATTTTGCTAGTCTCGACCAAAAAACACGTGATGTTGTCCTCATCTCCTATGGTTTCTTTCGAGCACAAATTAAGTTGGCTCTTGCAGGTCTGTGTTTTCAGTGGAAATCTCATAGCTGTTGACTGTAGTTTACAGTTAAACTATTCACTTGTTGAAACAAATGGGAAATCTCATAGCTGTTGACTGTAGTTTACAGTTAAACTATTCACTTATCGAAACAAATATTTAAACCGCTCACTTACCTGAATATCCTTAATTACATTCCAAAGTTCTAGCAAATATCTGTCTTAAAGTTAGTCGGAATGAAACTAAAGGTGATTGATGTTTTTACTTAAAGATAGACCTTACTTTTGGATAAAAGAAAATGGAATAAATCTGACAGAAAGTATTGAATTCTTTTTTTTGGCAGAAGAGACGAATATGGAGTTTTTGGCATCATATTGTTGCACGTCATAACTGGAACCATGTTCTTGATCGTGCTTATTTACCCGAAATTAAGTTAAAGACAAAATAACGTAATTGGGTTTAGTAAAGTCAGTTAGGTCATTATTCTTTCTGCATTCGATTTGAAATCCCACTCTGCATAAGTTAGGCTGCAGTCGGATTTCTCTCTCCGTAAAGTAGATTAGAAAACCACACGAACCTGAAAGTTAATGCAAAGCCAAACAATTTGAGAATAATAGGCTGCTAATCCTGATTAGAACAAGCAACCGACCTAAACCGAACAATAGATGAAGTGATATAAATATAATGTATATATCTGCATATATATTTATATATACGTACAGCAACCCCGACTCTCTTCTTCTCCTCTCTCTCTTTGAAAGATTTGAAAGTTTGTAACTTCTGTGTCTGCATTTAACATGGCCAGCAGCTGCTGCAACCGTCCACATAAAATTCATAAACAGTTTTGGACAAATGTGCACAGTTATTAACACACTTTCGTCTTCCACCCCATAATTATTTCTACAAACTGATCATATTCAAGATCACAGAGAATATCCCTCAGAATATTCTTTTTGTCGATCATCTTCCTCAGCCAATCAGTCCCAACCCTAAATTTGCATGGCACACTCCGTTATGTGAAGTTCTTCAATGTCCATCAATCTTTTTCCCTTCAAAATTAAAGCACTTGTGCATATATACATATATACAGATGGATAGATATATGGGTAATGGGCAGTGAGAGGTATTTGCCTTTCAATCATCAGGTCTAGTACCTTTCAGCAATATTTTCTACTTGTAAGCTTTCCTTTTTTTCATCTCCTTCCTCCTCGATTCTTTTTGCAGATTCCCCCTTTTTTTTCTCTTTTTTATTCTTTGACCACCCACTAGCCTAGCTTAAATGTACATATATGTGCAGGTAGTGAGTGCTTAGAGATAGGTGAGTGATTAATTAGAGATAATTAAACATCATGAGTGTCTTGTCATCAGCAGTAATTACAAAGAGTTGTGGGGGCTGGTAGTAGTAATTTGTTTTATAGCGGTCCTTTGGAGAAAGTTGATTGATGGGAGAAGTCTCCCATGATAAAAGAGAGGATTGCTGCTCTCCCACAAGGATTAACATCCAGGAGCAGCAGTCCACCACGGACATGCAGCAGCAGCAGCACCATCACTGCATGGAAATCCCAATGGGGATGGAGTTGCACAAAGTAGTTGCCCCGCCTTACAGAAGCACTTTTCGTAAGCTGCTGGCCAAGCTCAAAGAAACATTCTTTCCAGATGACCCTCTTTACCAATTCAAAGGTCAGCCACCAAAGAAAAAATGGATTCTTGGAGCTCAGTATGTCTTTCCAATCCTTGAGTGGGGCCCCAATTACAGCTTCAAGCTCCTCAAATCAGGACATCATTTCTGGTGTCACCATCGCCAGTTTAGCCATCCCTCAGGTACTTCAGTTATTAGAACTTAATATTTACTTTTACTTTTGATTTCAACGTATATGTGTTAGGCTAGTTGACCAGGACACAAAGCTGGTTCGGGTACATTTGCTTAGGCCTGTTGGTCAGGACAATGTTTAAGCCGTTCGGCGAGGTCAGTGTCTTAAGTCGGTTTGTCTGGTCAGTCTGTTAGCCTAGTAGGCCAAGGCAATGTCTCAGGCCGATTGGCCTGAATGGCGTCTTAGTCCATTTGGCTAATACAGTGCGTTAGCTCCTCGTATCCGAGTTTGAATTGTTTTCCTGAAAATTAAATTAATTCATAAAAACATAATATCGCCTCATCAACAACCCTTTTTTTTTTTCCTTTTTCTTCAGGGAATCAGTTATGCTAAGCTTGCGAATCTACCTCCGATTGTGGGTCTCTGTGAGTAATTTATTTCTGGTATTTCTTTGCATATTCATACGTATCGACTGAAGTTTCTTTACCCCTTCTCACATTTGTTACTTCTGTTGCATTTGTAAATTGTTGTGATGGAATTTGTAGATTCCAGCTTCGTTCCTCCTTTGCTGTATGCTGTCCTTGGAAGCTCAAAGGATCTTGCAGTAGGACCTGTTTCCATTGCTTCCCTAATCATGGGATCGATGCTCATGCAAGAAGTATCTCCCACCAAAGAACCCTACTTGTTCCTCCAACTTGCCTTCACTTCAACCTTCTTTAGTGGCATCCTCCAAGCTTCCCTAGGTTTATTAAGGTAATTAATCCCCCTCCTAATTTTTGAGACAATCGATACTGGGGAGGGGGAATCAAACCCGAAAGTTTCGAGTCAGGGGTTGAATGCTCTTAACCAACTGAACTGCTATGGTTTTGTATTTTTTGTTTCCGAGAACCCGAAAATGATTCAAGATTGATGTGTGCAGGCTTGGATTTATAATCGATTTTCTTTCAAAGGCTACTCTACTTGGTTTCATGGCCGGAGCTGCTGTGATAGTCTCTCTGCAACAGCTTAAGAGTCTCCTTGGAATCACACATTTCACCAAGAAAATGGCAATCATCCCTGTTCTTAGCTCTGTTTTTCATGAAAGAAAGGAGGTAATTAATTTCAGTTAAACAGTGATTACTCTGAATAAAGTGTTTAGCTTTCCTGGTAATACTAACTACAGAGCGACCAATTTTTTTGACCATTTTTATAAATTACACGATGTGATGATTAATGATTAAATTCATTTTTTAAATACGAGCTCAATCATCAATCACTATATCATGTGTTTTGCAAAAAATGTTCTAAAATTTCATCTTCCTATATACATTTTCTGTATATTAATCATATTATGTGTCATTTTCTTCTGTTCTTGAACTAATAATTTGGGTGCTTTTTTGTTCAGTGGTCATGGCAAACCATTTTAATGGGCGTTTGCTTCCTTGTGCTGCTCCTAATCGCAAGACACGTTGTATGTTCTCCCTTCCACTTTTGTCTTAAAACTTGTCTTCTTCTCGGATATTTGGTTGGTAGTATCACAATTAATCACATATTGTCATGTTAAAAAATTTTAAATTGGCATGACAACATATTATTCCCTTGCGCATCGCTACCGTGACATCTCTGATTTTCACCATGCATAATGTTAACTTGATTAACTAAATCATTAACATCGATTCATCATCGTTATAACAACATTTTCTCTTCATTGATACATAGCATTAAGTGAGATAGAAAATGAATAATCGAAATTAAAAATAAAATATTTAAAAGTTGTGAAAATCAAATTTAACGGTTAAAACATTAACATTGAAACTAAACCCGTTATAACAGTTCAAACTTCAAAGTCAATGATGCGATTTTCAAATGTGTTTTATGATGATATTGGATTGGTGTGCGTTATTTTACCCACTCCACTATGATTTCAGTTGATCAAATGGTCACACACCACTGCAATTTGCAAACAAATACTTTATTCAAATTCTTGTATTCGGATGTCACCGTGGCGGTGTCTCTGGTACATGTAAGTCCGTCTCGAGTAGAAAAACTGACAAATTTAATTAACCTTCACATTGTGTTGCGTGGCATGGAATGCAGAGCATAAAGAAGCCAAAGCTGTTCTGGGTCTCAGCTGGAGCCCCTCTGGTGTCTGTGATCATTTCCACTGTGATTGTCTTTGCATTCAAAGCCGATCGCCATGGCATCAGTGTGGTAAGTTGTTTGCTTGCTCGGACCCACACTCCACCATCCATATCTGGACCCATACCAAATTCTAAGATGTTCATTTTCTTGAATTTTTATGTATTGGCAGATTGGAGAATTAGAGAAAGGACTAAACCCACCATCATGGAACATGTTGGTTTTCCATGGATCCCACCTTGCACTTGCAATCAAGACTGGGATTATCACTGGCATTATTGCCCTTACTGTAAGTTAAAACCTCTGTATCATCGGTACTGTGTCGATATCATTGTGATCAACAAAATGTATGGATACATTTTTTACGGTTTTGATTGGTTTGACTGATTGATTTTTGCATCAAATTTGTAGGAAGGTATTGCAGTAGGAAGAACTTTTGCTAATATAAGAGAATACAGAGTGGATGGAAACAAGGAGATGATAGCAATTGGAATCATGAACGTTGTTGGCTCCACCACTTCCTGCTATATTACAACAGGTTCACATTCATTGATTATAGATCACAAATTAATAATATCCAACTGAAAGACGCTATTCAGACTCTCTCGAAAACAAGTGCACTTGGACTTGTTAATACTCGTAATATTTTATCTTCATTGTGTTATATTAGGTCGAAAACTACAACGTGAGTTTTATGGCAAAAATTACAAGTGTCAGCAAGCTTAAGTGAGTCTTGCTTTCGAGAGAGTCTAAATAGCAATCTTCTTTCCATTTACAAAAATTCTAGAATAGACTGACCCATAGCATAGATTATTAAGTGAATGAACGGCTAGATGTGCGGTCAAATATCAAAACCTACGGATCCAACGACCAAAAATCTCGATGCGTACTATGCTTCGGTCCAGAGTAGAAAACCCTAGAATTTGATAACAACGTTTTTATTTTGATGATGGATTTCAGGATCATTCTCAAGGTCAGCGGTGAATCACAATGCTGGAGCAAAGACAGCAATGTCGAACATAGTAATGTCGCTGACAGTTATGGTGACACTGCTGTTTCTGATGCCTCTGTTCCATTACACTCCCAATGTAATTCTGGGTGCAATTATCGTGACTGCTGTGGTCGGCCTCATTGATGTCCCAGCTGCTTACCACATATGGAAGATCGACAAATATGACTTCCTAGTCTTGATCTGTGCCTTCTTGGGAGTCATCTTTCTCTCTGTCCAACAAGGCCTCGCCATAGCGGTAACTAAACAAACGATAAACCGTAATTATTTTTTTAAGAACTGGTTATAAGAAAAGACGCTAAAGAGACTATAAGCCGCATGTAAACCGCAGTTTTAGTGCGCAGCTATTGTGTGTTTAGCGTCCCTTCGAATATATTTCTTTTATATAAAGTTTGTTGCCGGTTTGGTTTGCGCATATTTTCCGATGTAACCCTAATGATAGGTAATTTGACGACATGAACAGGTTGGGATATCGGTTTTCAAGGTTTTGCTGCAAGTGACGAGGCCGAGGACGGTGGTGTTGGGAAACATACCGGGAACGGACGTATTCAGAGACCTGCACCAGTACAACGAATCGGCAGTGAGTGTGCCTGGTTTCCTAATCATACTCATCGAAGCTGCCATCAACTTTGCCAACACCACTTATCTCAATGAACGGATTTTGAGATGGATAGAAGAAGAAGGTGACGGGAACAAGGTTTCAAACATTAGATTTGTTGTTGTAGATATGTCAGGTAAAGTTTGCTAATCTTGAGCATCAATTCCCTCCTCTTTCAAAGACAAGCTTACATCGCCGGGATGTCACAACATTCCAAACCAATCACGCACTCTAGTGCGCTTTAACTTTTCAACTTGGCAGTGCGTTATTAGCTTGAAATGTCGATGCAGTGACATACCTGTTGCATGAAGGTTCTTCCCGCCAATTGGGTATCTCATATTTTACTAAGCCGGCAGTTAAAACGGCTCCTTTGTGTCTTTTTTTTTTTTTTTTCAGCTGTGAGCACAATCGACACAACTGGGATCACACTTTTCGAAGATATAAGGAAATCAATCCGAAAGAAGGGGATTAAGGTAAGTTGGTTAATTTCATGTCTACATATACGTTGTTCTTGGTTTGGATCTTAGGTACCGTAAATTTGACAGTAAATAATGAAATAATTACAGCTGGTGCTGGTAAATCCACTGGCGGAGGTGATGGACAAAATGCAGAAGGTGAATAACGGAGACGAAGAATTCATGCTTTACTTGTCCGTCGGAGAGGCAGTGGCTTCTCTGTCGATGGGAATGAAGAATTCAAACATGTACAATGAAGAAATGCAGGCCCATGATGTTCCCTAATTATCTTTTAATTATACTCCTAAATTCAGACAGCATGATCCAAAATAACGAGAAGTTTTCAGATATATAAAATGAACCAGCATTACACGTTCCACGTTTTCGGGTGTCTTTGGTAAGATGTTCCTAGTTCTAGACAAATAATATTGTCAAGTTACCTGTAATTTTGTGTGTAAGTTTATTTTACGTTGCCAATCTTAAGCTCGAAAAAAAAAGACAGAGATAGGGTGTCAGGTAGTTGAGTACTCTGTTTCCACGTCGAATCCCATAGTTTGTATCTTTAACATTCTGTATCACTATGTAGTTTTTGTGGGTCGTTCATTCCCTTAGTGCAACTAAAGTTTTCTCCATAACTCAATATAATAGCATGTGTTTTTGTACGCTAAACATGGAGCATTACTTGCTGGGCAAGTGATTTCTGCAAACTTATTTGTAATCCGTAACTTATAGTTAATTTGAAATATCGCTCGAATAAAAAACATATGAAGTACAACAGATTAGTGTGAGATATGTATATATCATAAAGACAGGTGCAATTGAGCTGGGCTTGAATGGGCCCAAGCCCAACTAGTCAGTGTCGTATTTATCCAAAATTTATCGTATAACAACAGGCTCGCAAAGACAAAAATTCTCCATCATATTTATCACAAGCACCACGCTGTTTTCTGCAAACTTAAAATCCTTTCAACGCCGAAGGCAACTTGTCAGGATTCTTCTGGAAATATGCAGCAATGGCTATTAGAATGATGAGTATGATGACCCATAAGCTCAACACTCCTCCTGCAACCAAACCAAACAGAATTATGTCTCATACTTAATGAACTCAAAGTGCAACGACGTGAATGAACTCGATACTTGTCCCCGCCATACAAAAGGTGTTTTCGGATGGATATAATGGACTCAAAATTTCCCATTTCAACTTTGCATTTATTCATCAACTATCGAGAACTCAAGGAGCTCACCAAAACCGTGATGGTGCTTTAATTTCTAAGTTCCGTGATAGCATAAACGATGGAGTGTGTTGGAATTTGGTTGCTTATATCACTAGAGCTCTGAACAACCGGATCGACCTCCAAACATAGGTTCAGGTTGGTTTTTTTTTTATTACCATGATGACTTTACTAGGTTGTAAGAGCAGTTCAACAATTTCCAAGAATAGCGTTGAGGATATGTTATTGAATTATCCCACAAAAAATTATGGTAGGCACTTACCATTTTTCTTCTCCTCCTCAAGTGTGGACACCCTTGCACTTGAATCCAGGGATGCCGAAGCCAAAGCTCTGTATTTAAAACCACACTTCATTAACAGTTCAAGGGGTAGAAGAAACATAAAGTTGAGGCGTTGTTTACCTTGAATCATGTGAGAAACTCAATGCAGTTACGAAGCCCATGTGTGCTTCTTAACCACTTTATGAATCCGCATTCTGGTTGGATTTACTATCACAAGATCTCCACCAGTTGTCCCACTGCATTTTCATCAATCAAACGTGTTACTTTTCTCCTTTATCCAGAAAATCAATGCAATTACTGTTAAATGATGATCTCAAACGACACCATATAAAGTCTCATTCAACACATTGCACTATATGAAAAGCATCTCGAAAAATGTTAAAACAGTAAGCTTGTAATATAAATTTTACCATGCAAGGAGTTTTCCGTCAGGCTGAAACATCAAAGGCGGAAATAATGTCTTTACTAATAGTCTTTGATCCAATCCTCTTCCAAGTGGTAGAAATGTTCCATGTTACAATGCTTCCCGATTTATCTATATTGTACAATAGACAGATAAAAATAATTAACTCATGCAGAGGTAGAGCAAGAGCAGTTATCCAGAGAACAGATGAACTGTTTTTTACTTACCTGCAAAATATAAAATATGACCCCCATCATCAGTTACAGAAAATCTGCAACCGCAAAAGACCTCATCCTGCATGTATTATACTCATTGGTTACATTAAATGAAAAGCGTGAGGAACCTCTAATTCACAGTTAATGACCAAGAGGTCACACCAGAAAGGTAGGTTAAATGATTCACAACAATGCAGGGATATAGGTGTCAATGGCTTGATATACATTTTTTAGTTGGCGTCCAATAAGCATACAACTAAATAGTAAATACGATGCATGCACCCAGGTCAATCTACAAAGTTAAAGATAATTTCAATCCACATAAAGTTGAAAACCAAATATTTTTATCAGTAAAGAATTTCAGATATTGCTAACCTTTTCCGGTGGTAGAGAAGCTACAACGGTAGATGAAGTTACATCCCACACCCTACCAGGGCCTCTATCTCCTAAGGAGACGAGAAATTTCCCATCAGGGCTGCAAGAAAGCCAAGCCAGATCATCAGCAACTACAATTTACAAATAAAAGACGTACAAAGTAAGTTTTTCAATGCCGCCATTAATGCAAACCTGAAATCTAATTGCTTCATTGTGGTATGAGCTTTATCTTCGTCGAGAATAATCTCCATGCTAGGCCACTTGAAAACCCTTAACTTGCCATCCTGTACTGCACCAAATGAGAGCATCATTATACGGTATGCTATTCAACATCAAATCTAAAAACAATCCAGAAAATGCAAATGTTGATACTAATACATTTCGACAAATACAATTGAAGGTTGAAACCAAACTCAAAAGGTGAAGGAGGAGCCATACCTCGCCTCCAGCAGCAAGCAAGGAACCGTCTTTGTCGAAAGCCAAGGCTAACTGTTGTCCAACATCTTGCAATTGCTCCAGCACTCTCTCAGACTGCCTCAAAGCCAGTTTAGGAACTTCGTTGCTTTCTTCCTCCAATTCAAACCACCTGCAAAAGGAAAGGTATTTGCATATATCCTACTGCTCATGAACCTAAATTGGCAATGTGCAGACTTTCATTTTAAAAAACATAGTAAATCTGAGCTAGATAAAGACCTGCAACTATCAGGGAAGGAGCAAACGAGACCGCTACCGGCGGGGTGAACCGCCATTCTATACGGCAAAGCAGAGCCAGTGTTGAGCTTAGCCACCTGAAAAATCAAACACCAGACACTCCAATTACAACAGGTAGGCACTCCACTTACATATATGCAAAAATTGGAAGGGTGGGATTGGGGATTGAAGTATTACCGGCTGACTGGAGAGAGAAACGGAGGCGGGATCGAATTGGGCGACGACGATGGCGTTTGGGACGCCGCTGCGGCCCTCTCCGCCTCCGCCGGAGAAAACGACGTGGTTTTGGTTGGAATCGAATTGGGCTAATTCAGTCTGGGTCTCAGTCTTCTGCGTCTGAGTCTCGGTTTCCTTTTGGTCGTCGCCGGCGTCGTCTTGATCCTGGTCGGGTCGTTTGGATTTGCCGAGGCCGGGGAGCCAAGCGGCGGCGTAGAAGGGGACTCCGTACTTCTGGTAGTTGTTGGGAAGGTCCATTAGCAATTGGGGATTGTTTTTCAGATCAGATCTCTCTCCCTTTCAGTGTAACCGTAGGTCTCGTTCACCGATCCATATCTGTTTTGGCGTTTGCAGTAAGTCCTTGTCTGAAAAAATCAGAGCCAAACTGAATAATATAATGTTTTTTTTTTAATAATTGGTTTAGATCTGTTTTGGCGTTATTGTTAATGAATTCACACGGTACATTTTGTGATTGACTTCTCATGCTCGTGAATCATACAACTTTAGGAGGTTGAAATGCGATTCTTTTCATCGTCTTAAAAATTAAATTGTCGTGACAAAACCACTAACTGAATATTTCTTTTCATAAAAGAAAAATACTCATCCATTATAGCCATGTGGCTACGCTCATGTATGTACTTGACAATCAACTAGTTACTTATATATATATATATATATATATATTTAGTACATGTTACTTTGTATTTTAACTCAAGTCAAAATTCAACACAACCCAACTTGAATTCGATTTCTGACATTAATAAATCACGCATTGATGGAGAATGGAGTTGAAATGCCTTTATAAATCTTTCCGACCCCAAAAGAATGAACCATGGTGACGAAGCCACTAACTGGTCTCTTTTTAAAATAAAACAAAAAAGTCAACAACTATCTCTATGAGATTTCAGCTCATCTTCACTAATTAATTTCACATTTAGTAAATCAAATTTGGTTGTGGGTTTCATGACAAAACGTAAAACCTCTTTGCAAGCACAATTTTCCGAGTAAATGGGCCACTCATCAATAATCTGCACATAAAAAATATGGATGTGTGTTTCTGTGCCTGTAATTTTCATTTTCCCCAGAGTATTCCGAGGATAACCATCAGTGAATACAATTGGCTTTCAATGGCGTATCATGGTGCCTTAAATCGACCCTAGTTCCGAAAACCAGGCAAACTATGAACTCTAGTCAGAAGTTACTGTTCAGACTCGTATATTCTGCTGTTGATTTGAACCCGCAAAAGGAGACGACGGTCGATCTCTGAGGCTGCCGCAATAAAAATGATATGATCAGTGCAACAAGAAAATCTCTTGCAACGCAAGACAGAAAACAAAACGACATCACTGACGCTTCCTTTGGTAGAGCGAATAACCAACGAGCGCAGACATTAAAAATGTCCAGAGTACCTGGAACAGAAGCACACAAGGGGATGAGCACTGAGTATATATTTATTTATCCAATTGATGAACTAATAGCAGTTCCAGGCTTCCAGCATAACTAGTTTGTGAGAAAAAAGGAATTGGCAGCACCGTATTGATTGTATGCCACCGCTCAAGTCTTCTAATCCTTGACTGCATGTCTTCGATAACTCCTTCAACAGGAGAAACTTCTCTGATCGGCGACGATTCAGAAGCTGAACTGCTGCCCTGTTCATTACACCATAATATTTCCACTCAACATTTTTTTTCTTTTTGACAATTTCCACTAAACATTAGAAATGCAGGCATTCAATTAAACATTCTAGTTTTAGACGGAAACAATTGGCATCGAGTGTTAAGCATCTTGGAAGAAAGGCCGGTTTGGATTGCAACAATGTTTTTCTTGTGACAATTATTTCAACTAAATTCCAAAAATAAATGGAAATACCTGAGATTGAATAAATTCAACAAGTTCCTGCAACCTTGCAGCTTGCTGAGTGTGAATTCCACCCTGAGCCTCTTCCCAATGCTGGCAATCTTTCCAGAACTATTTGAAGATAGCTCTACAACAAACAAACCAACTACCAAGTTACCAACGAGAATGAAATTGAATAAAAAGAACAAACAAAAAGAAGAAAAGTATCGTTAAGAATTGGAAACCCATGCAAGGACAGAAACTTTGCAGTATAGGTAAGGCAAAACACCTTTGTAGTATATGAACCATCCAGCTTAAGCATTGATCCTGCAGCTGCTACAGCATCTTTATCAACCCCCTTGATTTGCAAGTAAGGGTTTGGGGAATCTTGTAGACGATCGACCTCAACTAAAATCTAAAGAGGCAATCAAAATCAATTCTAAATTAAAATCCAATTAAAAAGGTATAAATGTACCTCCCACAACTGAAGTACTTTCTAAAAAGTATACAAGTTCAAGAAAACCAAATCTCAGAGATTTTGATATGACCTTTGTGTCTTGGTAGATGAACGCAGATGCTTCAATATAAGCTACAGCTTGATACCTGATGTCACAAAAAGATTACAATAATATTTTTACTAATAGATCAGCAACAAACATGTAGCTTACCCAAGGTTAAGAAGCCCAGCAACTGTACTAATGCTAATATCGAAATCCACTTTCGGTTGGATGATGAAGTTTCCTTCTCTGATAGGCTAAGCAAACAAAATTCAGGAAAGAGAAAAAAATAATTAAGTGCACACCATGGGTAGAAAGAAAGAGCACTGTATGTATTAACAAAGCCAGAAGATCATTATATAGCACACATTACAAACCTCCCGTATCAGCAATGCAAATCTGCCCTCACATATTCTGACCCTAATGCAGTCACCCTCTGTTAACTGACAATTAGTAGGAAGTCCAGGAAGCTTCAAGTATATATCAGTGAAATTCTGCACAGAGCTGCAGAACTTTGCAGGATCCAGTATTTTTAAAATATCTTGATATGCCACCTGTGACCAGATTGAAATAGTGAAAGTATGTTAGATGCAAATCAAATTTTATGAGTTCAAGACAGAAGCAAGATGCTGCCCATACTTGCTTGTTACTCTTCAATACAAATAATGAGCTCTCAGGGGAAAGCACTGGATCAAAGTCATTTCGAATTTTGAGCTGTTTTAAGATAAGGAGAAACAAACACCAAGTTTAGCCCTTGAAAGTTGCAACCAAATATCAGCAATAAACTGTCAAAGTTCTTTCACATGGCATCTAAGAAGGTTAAAGTCCTAACGTGTGCATGAACAAGATGGGGTTCAATGAACTGCTGGAACATTGGAAACACTGTCATCATGATCTCATTCTGGGACATAAAACACCCCACTCTACTTTTATCCCTTTGAACTCTAGAAATGAGGTGTGAATGAACACCTCCAACCTGATAGCCAAAAAACAATAATGGATAGCTCCTGGTCAGTCTCTCTCATAAACAGCTGAAAATAACTTGGAAACACAGAGAATACATAGATATCAAAGCTTTAAAGGTGCCGTAAGGGTTATACTTACAACAGCAATCCACAAGTCAAGTGATTTTCGGATATTTGGATGCAAAGCATAAACTCCTTCAAAAATAATCTGTTACGGAAAATACAAAGTATAAACTAATATTTTGTTTAATAGAAAACAGAACTATATGATATAATTCCAAACGAGAAAGCCAAACTTCTGGGAGTAGGGTATCTGATAACTGACCACTCCACAGTCTTCAGAAACTTCAAGTTCCTTTAAGCCACTCCGAGCACCAGTTTCCAAATCAAATACAGGTACTTTTGTCCTTTGACCATTCCTTATGTCATCAATGTTCTGCAAATGGTAACATAAGACTACGACAAGAAATCCAGGCACTAAAAGCAAACAATATTAACTTAATTTAGCGCTATGAATTTTGAAGTCAATGAAACCATTGTTGCCATCATAAATTGTAAGTTAAGATGTGATTCAGCAAAGGTCAAAAGGATAAGCCATCAAATTGGAAGTTTGGCAACTAGAAAAACAAATTAGGAAACATGATTTTAAATAGACCGTCAAGGCTTCAACAACCTGAAGGACTTATTCAGGGATGAATTTTACATGGTAGCAAGAAAAACATAAACATAATGGGCATATGGAAACTAATATGAAAAAAGGTATGCTTTCTGTTTCTTTTCTTTGTGGGTAACATTTTATTGTCTAGCACAATTATACCAATCCTCTGACTGCCCATCCCATATGGCCCAGAGCTGTACTAGTAAATAGAATACAAAAACTAGTAAAACAAAAATCCAGTCATCAAACCTTACCTTTGAAAGCAAAGACAGATCGAGCGTGCTGAAGTCATCATACTTGAAATCCTTAACTTGTTCAGATTTATAATAGCTTTCAAGCGAAACAACTTCACATCCTACTATGTTTGCCATTTTATGAGCCAAACTAGTTTTCCCAGAACCACTTGGACCTCCTAGAATAACAACACCAGTGACAACATAAGAACGTACTTCAAGCTCAATTAAGTTGGAATGCTAAAAGTTACTAAAAATAACTATTTTTCAAAATGAATTAGGACTGTATTATTCTGTTTCCAGAATGGAATAGCATAACAAGAACAAAAGATCACCAGTGACAACAAAAACACAAACAGGAGAGAGGGAGAGAGTAGAAGATAAAGCTCGTATTACCAATTCCAACTATAACTGGAAACCCTTTATTCTCCAACAATGCCTGAAAAAGATGAACAATGTATTAAGGTACAATCCAACAAAAACGTACTAATAAGCTTTTTCTTTTGTATACACTTTTAAGTTTTCAAAATGGAAATCTCTCAGACAATTCCTTATTAACTTCACTCCTTACCTGTATTGCTTGCACAGCAAGAAGCAATCCTCGATCCAAGTCATACGAATCAGGCATTGGAGCAAGTTGCATGGAATCCCTGAAAGAGGAAGGATCTGTCGTTGCTTCATGAGAGAAGCCGAAACACAGAGAGACATATCCAAGAAAGATATACATCTCTAAGTTAAAGTAACTTACCTATGGTTGAGCTTTCAGCTTGGGAAGGATCAGATGAGATAAAATGCCATGTTGCTAATATAGGTTCCATCTTAGATTTTGTTGGAGATCTAGTCCATGGCTGAGACAGATCCTCAAGCCGAGTAACAAGGTTTGGAGGAACACGAATTGGTCTTGGTGCAACAATTGTTTTGTCCTGATTACTGGTCATGGATGTATTTGACAAAAGGGGTGGTGTATTAAGGCGAGGTACACCTGCATCGTGAACAAACATGATCTACATTACACACACGGCAGAAAGAGAGAGAGAGAGAATGAGGGAAATAACAAGACAGGCCTTCTTTCCTCCATAAAATGATTAGTTAAAAACACCAACAGTGCAGGCCTAATGGTTCAAAACCAAAAATACAAAAAATAACTTGGAAACAAAAAGATGTAAAGAACAAGAGTTATTTCAAGCTTCCGACCTTTGCTCTCCAGAATCATTTCAAGATATGATTTAGTGA